TAACAGCAGACTTTCCCATGGCAGTGCGCCTTTTAATTTCCTGGCTGCTGGTGCCAAGATTGTTGACTGTGGAGCCAGGCAAACTAAAGCTGTGTACAATCTCAATCTCTTCACCATCCATTCTGATGCTGCCAATTGGTCCAGTGGTGAGAATCTTTGTCTTCTTGACATTGAGCCTCAATCCATATTGTAGGTTTCAGTCCTTGACACTCTGCAGCAGGCGCTTCAGGTCCTCCTCAGTTTCAGCAAGCAAAAAAAAGAATGTGTTCTTTTACTGTATTTACAGAAAATATTCACTCATGATACTAATTGTACACAAAAGGGGGGTTGGATTGATAAACAATTCAGCGAGCGATTGGATACCCGTTAGTACCTATGATTAGAACCATCATAATATATGTACCTAGTTGAAATATTGTGAATATTTTACTTACTGATAAGATACCAAGTTGCATATTTTTATTTACTGGAGAAAGTGTAGAATTTTTACATTTTTATAACAAATTTTCTTGATGCAATTGATAATTGATAAAAGCTCTCTTTATTTCAGGTGGAAGCAGTGAGTACTTCGGTACAGGACTCAAGTGTACTTGTACAGAGAAGCACGCTGGATCTCATACTTTTCTGTTTTCCATTCCACATGAGTCAGGTAAAATATTAATGAATGAGATGAATCAATTCTTTTAAAACTCATGAAATGGCAATATTTAGTTATTTTTAAAGGCTTTCATGTTGAATTTTTATTTTCATAACAAGTGAAATTTGTGGGGAAAACTGAAGAAAAAAATTAACCTGACATGAGTAAGAATATGGTTAATTGGAATAGATTGTTTCACACTTTAAAGTTACATAACTTACCTATGAAAAGAAAGAGGTAGAAGTATTAAGTGCCACATGAACTGAGTGGGACCCTGGCCATCCTAAGTAAGCCATTATATCTAGTTACTCTCTTGTCAGTCTATGGTAATTGATTGTACAATGTTTTGTTAAGTCATTAGCCAAATTAACTACCAAGTATTCCGTAATATTTTATTATAGATCAAAGCAGCTGATTTGACAAATAACAAATGTAGTATTTCATTACTGAATGTAATTAACCTAGCTTCCTCATTATCTAATTTAAAGTCCTTAGAATTCTTAACCTTTTTAAAATTTTACATTACTGTGCATACAAAGTTCATATACATTGTGTTTCACACTATCCTTCATTCACATTGTGTTTCATATGATCATTCTCCTTCATTATGTTGGATATAATCAGTAACCATTAAACTATGTTCATCATTACCCTGTCTTTGTAGATCCCCGCCAGATTTTCCCCATTTCCTTTACCCTCCCCACCACTGAAGTGTGCAACCCTGTGGTTTCCTCCTGCCCACCTTCACCTCTCTGTTCCCACTCCTTCCCCCATTGAATCCCCATACACATTTTACTAGTTACCCTTCTGTGTTTTCACAATAATGGTCTTATGCAGTATTTGTCCCTATGACATTGAGTTAGTTCACTCAGCATGATGCCTTCCAGTCTCTCCCAACTTATGTAGTTATGTTGTAATTTTCTAAATTATTGTTCCTGAGTGCTGCATAGTATTCCATCATGTCCATGTACCACAATTTCTCAGACCATTCGATTGTGGTTGGATATTTGGACTCTTTCCATGTTCTTATAATTATGAATAATGGTGCTAGAAACATTGCTGTACATATCTCCATTTGTATCTCAGGTATAATTTCCTTAGGGTATATTCAAAGGAGTGGAATAGCTGTGTCATATGGAATTTCTATGTCTAGCTTTTTTTTTTATGTCTAGCTTTTTGAGGCAATGCCAAACTGCCATCCAGAGTGGTAGTACCAATTTGCAATCCCATCAACAGTGTATGAGAGTTCCTATCTCTCCAAAATTTGTTGCTTGCTGTCCGATTAAACTTTGCCACTGCTATTGGAGTGAGATGGTATCTCATTGTGGTTTTGATTTGCATGTCTTTTCTTCCCAGTGATTTTGAGCATTTCTTCATGTATCTGTTGTCCATCTGAATATCTTCTCCTGTAAAACTTCTTTACATGTCTCTTGCCCATTTTGTAGCTGGCTTTTTCTTGTACTTTAGTATTCTGTAAACTTTTGTTGAGACCCTTGCCTGAAATGGTATTACCAAATACTTTTTTTTTTTTTTCAGTCAGTAGGTTTTCTTTTCACCCTGTTGGGAAAACTGTTTGAAGCACACAGGGATTTTAATCTTTAGAAGGTCTCATTCATCAATTTTATCCTCTCCAGATTGTGCATTTCTGGCTGTTATTTGGCAGTTTCTTCATACCATAGACTAGGCTTTCTAAGCTTGATCCCAGTTTGTCTCTTACAATTTTATAGGCTTGGGCTTTACTCCTAGATCTCTGATCCACCTTGAATTGATGTTTGTATGTGATGTGAGTTGTTAATCCTGTTTAAGCTTTCTCCAGGTAACAGTCCAGTTTTGCCAATACCATTTGTTAAAAAGGTTGTCGTTCCCACATTTGATAGATTTTGTTTTCTTGTCAAATAACAATTGACTGTAGATAAATGGTTTAATTTCTGGATTCTCAATTCTGTTCTATTGGCCTATGTACCTATCATTGTACCAGCACCATGCTGTTTTGATTATTAAAACTGTATAGAGATCAGTTTTTGAGATCAGGGAGTGCTATGTCTCCCATTGTATTCTTGCTTTTTAGAAGTTCTTTGCTTATTCAGAGTCTCTTTCCTCTTGACATAACTTTAAAATTGCCTTTCGATCTCCTTGAAAAATGTAGTTGGTATCTGTATTAGGATTGCATTAATCATGTAGGTTGCTTTTGTTAGGATTGTCATTTTCACTATATTGAGTCTTCTTATCCATGAACAGGGAATAGTTTTACATTTATATAGGTCTTTTATTGTTTCCTGCAGAAGGTTTTGCAAGGCTGGTTTTGCTTTGTTTTTTTTTCTAAAAGGTCTTTGTGTCTCTAGTTAGGTTTATTCCCAAACATCTCAATTTGTGATTGTTAGTTATAAATTACATTGCTTTATTATTTTCTTTCTCTTTGTTTTCTTTGTTACTGTAGAGGAATACCACAAACTTGGGTATATTGATCTTGTATCCTGCCACTCTCCTAAAATGGTCTACTAGCTCTAACAGGTTTTTTAAATTGTCTTTGGATTTTTCTGTGTACACTGTCATATCATCAGCATATATAGCAACAGTTTCTCCATCACTTTGCCAATCCGAATGCCGCTTATTTCCTTCTCTTGCCATATTACCTGGCAAGTACTTCCAATACAATCTTGAATAGGGCTTGTGACAGTGGGCTTCCTTGTCTGGTCCCTATTCATTAGGAGAATGCTGTCAGTCTTTCTCCATTCAAAATTATATTGGTTCTTGGATTTGTGTATATACTTTTCTCTGTGTTGAGAAAATTACCTTTTATTCCCATTTTTCTGATGATCAGGTAGGGGTATTGAATTTTGTGAAAGGCCTTTTCTGCATCGATTGCTAGGATCATGTGGTTCTTGTTATTTGCTTTGCTAATGTGATGAATTGCATTGATAGATCTTCTTATGTTGAACCATCCTTGCATACATATTATGAATCTTACTTGGTCTTGTTGAATTTTTTTTATGTTTTTAATGACCTGTTGGATTCTATTGGGTAGGATTTTGTGAAAGCCTTTAGCATCTATCTCAAAAGAGATACTGGTCTGTAGTTTTCTTTCTTGGTATATCTCTGCCTGATTTTGGTATTAGGGTTATGCTTACTTTATAAAATGACTCTGGAAATGTTCCTTCGTTTTCTATTTTTTTAAATAATTAAAGTAGAACTGGTGATCATGTCTGAATGTTTAGTAGAATTCAGCCTTGAAGCCATGTGGTCTAGGACTTTTACTTGTGGGGAAGTCTTTATATGACTTGCTCAATTTCTTCTTTAGTGATGGGTCTGTTGAAGTGTTCTGCATTTGTCCATGTCAGTCTAGGTGAGGCCTAAGTTTCAAGGAATTTTTCCATTTTTGTCTAGGTTTTGAAATTTGTCAGTGTATAACTTTTCATAATATTCCAGTAGTATAGATTTCATTTCATCTGATTCTGTTGTGATGTCATCTCTATCCTTAAATCAAGTTATTTGTGTCTTCTTTTTCCCCCCTTTGTTATGTTTCCCAATGGCTTGTCAGTTTTGGTAGCTTCTGGTGGATTTGAACCACGCACCTCTGGGATTGCAGTGCAGGTTCTTGCCACTAGGCCACCAGAGCTCCCTGGTTTTTCAGTTTTACTGACCCTTTCAAATAACCAGCTCTTGGTCTTTTTATGGTTTCAATTGTTTTCCTGTTTTCTATCTCATTGATTTTAGCTCTTCTCCTTATAATTTCCTTTTTCCACATACTGTGGAATTAGATTGTTGTTCTTTTTCTATTTGATGGAAGTGTTGAGTTAGATCCTTGATTTTGCTTCTTTATTCATTTTCCATGTGTTTGCCTATTGCTATGAACTTCCTTAGCTGCATCCCAGAGGTTTTGGCATGTTGTATTTTAATTTTCATTTGTTTTCAATCATATTCTAGTAGGGTGTTATTTAACTTCCAGATGGGTGGTTTAATAAGCTTTATCCTTTAGTGGCTAATTTCTAGTTTTACGGCATTGTGGTCTGAGAAGATATTTTGTATTATTTCATTGTTTTGTAATTTATTGAGTCTTGCTTTGTGTCCTAGTTTATGATCAATTATGGAGAATGTACATGGGCACTTCAGAAAAAAGTGAATTGTGTTTTAGTTGGGTGCAGTACCCTGAATACATCCACAAGGTCAAGTTATCTGGTTGTATAGTTTAGACTTTCTGCATTTTTGTTGAGTTTCTTGTGAGTTGACCTATCCTTTGGTACTAGTGGTGTGTTAAAGTCTCCTACCGCAGTTGTGGTGCTGTCTATGTCTTTCTTCAGTTTTGTTAACTATTGTTTATTTTGCAGGTCATTTGTTTGGTGCGTAGATGTTGACCAAAGTTATGTCTTCTTGATCTTGTGCATTTAGTTATTATATAGTGTCTTATCCTTTATGGTGGTTTTTATTGTGCAGTATATTCTGTCCAAGATTAGTATTGCCTCTCCTTTTTTTTTTTTTTGATACGATTTGCAGAGAACTGCCGGAAGTCGAGGCTGGGTTTAGAAGGGTTCACGATACTAGGGATATTGTAGCTGATGTTAGATGGATCTTAGCTGAAAACAGGGAATACC